TGCACTGTGATTAGAAGTACCATTGCACTGCCACTGCACATGTTGCCGATGGTGGCGCTGTGGTGTTTAAATTGGCAATAAAAGTTCTGAACTTATTGAACTGTTTGAGTTCTAACCTTATGGAAAAGTTTCAAATTGAGAAAAATTGAATATGATAAATCTGAACTCGTCAAACTTGTAAACAATTTTTAACTTGAATAAATTGGCTATTAAAAGTCAACCAATCAGATGACGAGGATTTATTCAGGTGTTATATAAAACAAATAATGAATGTTTCACGTTCGTGCAATAGAAAGAATAATTTCATTCGGTGACATGAAATGTTCCATGGATTTCATCTGTCACATTTCATCTGTCACCTCATGAAATTATTCTTACCATTGCACTCACAAACATTCATTATTTGTATAACATCGCTTGACCAATCAAAGTAACCAATTTTTGAAGACTCGTTTATTATTTTCAGTAGGTATGAAAGGCTGGATAACAATCTGCAAAAGTTTTAAAAACTTAATCTTAATTTGTAGATTCAAACACATTATATTTGGATGATAATGCTAAGATCAGCTGCTCGGACTGAATTTATAAAGAACACGACATTCAAATGATATTCAGAACAAAAGGGAATTTTTATAATTATGGGTTAACCTGTAAAAGATGTTGAGATCCATTGATCCGCTTCGTGTTGTGCGTGTACTACCCAGAGCCGTTTCAAAGCATTTGAACGTACGCGTGCTTGTATCTGTTTCTACTCCTCACCATGGGATGCGTGTGTGTTTTCCGCGAAACTTTGGCTGCGCGAATACGCAGACAACGCTGATTGCGTGTTAGGAATAATATTAAAACAACCTGCGCGCGTTTTTAAGAATAAAAACGTTAATTACCTGAAATACTGTAATATGATTGGCTTCTACCGAAATCGGTCGAAATTTCCATAAACTGTGTACAAACCATAGATCAATGGTCATAGATATGAGTAGTCTGGTTCCCAGACCTGACAATTATTCCCGAGGCTCACGTCTTAAATTGTAGGTCAGGCAGCCTCCGTGGCTAAAAATAAACATGACGACATTAATGGCCCTTTTTCAAAGCGCGGCTTCGTTTCCGATTTCGCTTTATCACTTGTAGCTTTTAATGTTCTGATCTAATCTTTAAATAAATCACTTGCTTCCGTAATATCATACACGGAATATCATAATGTCCAAAACGTAAACACGTTTAGTTTCACAACATTAAAAAGTGGTAAACGTTTAGAATTGAAACACATTCCTAAACGTATTAAACTCTAAACACGTTTCTGATGTGTTTAAATGCTAAACACTGTTTTTACAGTGTAGCAACGACGTCCCATGGCCGGGACATTTCGCTGGTTGACGCGCACTGTTCCTTGTGTGTGACGCGCTTACACCAGGGGATTTGTTCTATGTACACGCAGTGGCCGCGCTTTGCAGCAAATGAATTGCAGTCAGGCAAGATGGCATCGGTCGGTCACCCCCAACGGTACTTCCTTTGCCTGTGAGGGGGTACTTGTGAACGGAGCGGATAGAATAAAAAGACTAGATCGGCAGCGCGTGCATACGTGCCATAGACTGTGCACAAAATGTCCCGTTCCGTCATGGACGCTCTACGCGCAGTGGTGCGTGGGGCAAAATATGCGTTACGTGCACCTAAATTCCCGTAGGTTTGTGCACCAACGTGTATTTTTATGCCCATAAAAGTAACAGTTTTGACCAGTAGTGATAATATGTCTCCGACAAAATTCAAAATGCATTATCAAGCTGGATAGTGACCTCGAAGTTTGCTCCATTTTTCCCTCAAATTCATTTTTCGGTTCAAAATGGTTGTGCGCGTTGCTAAAAATATCCAATAAAAAATCACGCTTATCTGATCAAACAGTATATTAAACATTGTTAAAACAATAAAAAGGAATGTAAAAACTGCTTTAAATTACCGTTGAATTGTTTAAAATTAAAATTGTGAAATGTGTCAAAGGAGGATTTTAGAGATTTGTGTTACACTATATTATTATTATTATTATTATTATTATTATTTATTCGACCTCAACAAAGAATTACAAACAGTGATACAAAACCAAACAAAAATTACACAAAAGTGGTTGAAAACGCACAACAAAAGAAACGTATAAACATGTAATTTAAATTATTAAAAAATCATGAAGTAGAGGGCATGCACTTTAAATGACAGCTGGAGTGGGCTTCCCAATTGGGAGTTGAACAATAACCAGTAAGACACAAAAAATCACAAAGAAAACGATTATGTGGGTCAGGGACCGCAAAAGCGAATCTAATCACTGTTGTTTGGAAGCATGCGGACCCGCACATAATGACAAATGAACAGGACAAAAAAGGCAAACAAATGCACAAGAACAAGATTACAAATGGCAGGGAAATAACACAATAAAGGGAAGCCCGAAGATTAAACTTAAAATTAAGTAAATTGCGCTATAATGTGAGCTGGTCATGGAAGTGTGTCTTGAGACTGGCTAGAAATGAGTTTAGTGAATTAAGCACTGCAGAATCCCGGATTGAAGTAGGTAAGTGATTCCAGAGTCTAGGAAAGCGACGGGTTGGTGAATGGAATAAAGCATCAGTACGAGCAGGAAGATGACGAAATGTGAGGATGTTAGGATGACGTGGATTAATATGAAGGTTCTCATGGACGAATTCACAGTGTACTAGACCGTATAATACCTTATTATATAATATTGCCCCTGAAAACTTGAAGATGCGTTTTGAGAATGAAATTAAATTACACTCCCATAATGTTCCTTCTGAATGCATTGGCGGATTCAAACCTTTTGGGAGGATGGGTTGAGGGGTACGGATAATGGGTGTGTTGGACGCTAAGAGCGGTAGCGTGACCAGGCTGGGAGGGGGGGGGGGGCATTGGTAGATTGCAACATATGATGGAGATCTTAAAAGCGAAATCGGGAAAGATATTAGCGAAATCGGGACGGTGAAAAACCACGGCTTCTCATAGGGAAACGAGATGGGTAAACCGTACGAACTTTTTTTGGTTAATTCCTCATTTTTATTTACATTGTGCTCTACCCATGTTCAACAATATGAGATTCTTGCACCTTCTTGAAGATTTTGAGATGCTGGATACGCCACTAGAGGAGAGCACAATAACACAAATTTATGTGTTCAATTTTTTTTGGTGAAGAGCTGGGGGGGGGGGCTGCATCTCAACCCCCCCCCCGGACATAAAAAATATTCATTTCCATACAAACCTACGGAAATAAAGGTGCGCGTAACGCAGCTTTTGCCCCACGCGCTACAAAATGGCGCCGCCCATGGCAGAACGCGCGTCTGTACAGTGGTCTGTACGCACTGCCGAATGCCGATCTAGTCTTTTTTTATTCTATATCTATGCAACCTCGTGCCCCGTGGGTACGATCTTGCAGCGCCATGTTGTTTCCCATCATGCCTTGCGCGATACGAGCACGCCCCCCCCCCCCCCCCCCCCCGGAGTCGAGGCTGATATCTATGGGGTCTGGGTTGCTGCATCACTTGAAAATAACATCACGGTACATGTACGTTTTTTAACATGATGGTCCGGATTCGACGCATGAGGGCGCGCGTTATGTACTGTAAGGACGTATGCGATATGCGCTGTGAGTGGATTTACTATATAGGCACAGACCGAGCGCAACCCAGACTTGGCCAAGTCTACTTTTGGGGTAGCAAAAATCGAGATTATAAAGAAAAACATAGGAAATTCTTGACAAGTTGGAAAAGGCGTGTGTTGTCTTCCTCTCCAGTCGCTTCGCGTTTTCGCCGCCGGCTTTGTCTAATGCCGGCAAGTTAAGCCACGATGCTTGGCGAAAGGCTAGGACCAGGGTTGAGAGGCTCTACCAGGTAGAAACTACCATATCTACTGCCTACTCGTGTACACCCGGTTAAAGACATAGTCCATCATTTGTAATTTGTGCATTTTGACCGTTTGAAGCAACAAAAGTGTTCAAAATCTAATGAAGGATACTGAACAACTAACCTGATGAAGTTTCAGCCCAGCTTCAACTGTATATTCCGAGAAAAACAGCATTCTAGGATCTCAATTTCAAATCAAAAGTTGCTAAATCATGTTTTTAATTGTTTTGAATTGCAACTTTACGCGATGTCGCGCACTGATCCGACGAATTATAGCAACCGCACGCGCCTGTGCGTCGTGCCAATGCTTGCGCGCGCTGCGCCGAATAACAAAACGAACTACTAATTAAATTTTCCTACGGTGCTTCTTAAGACGCACCGTTGGAAATGCCTTCTTTCGTTGATTTCTTCAAAATGAGAGCTTGCCAGAAAGAATAATTTCACAGGGAGTTTAGTCCCCTTACTATCTTTCAACCAGTATGTTTCAACAATAATTACTTGGATAGCCGCAAATGATCGACTCCGGCTTTAAATGTGAACGGTTTATGCCTTGCCTTCCTGTGTTCGATGGGACTCGGTTTCGCTCTCGGTGGACCCACGTTGATTTCAACACGGGTGTTAAAGGAGACGAAATAGTGTGAACAGGCCTTCATTTTGTGTAGTGGTCCGGGAAACACTCATAAGGCCAGATAATAATTTGTCCTTTCTTCAAAACTAAAAATCTAAAACACTGTATCTAAGGACAATGGGACATCGTTTAATGTCTTTAATTCCTAAAAATACACAAACTTCCGTTGCATGTAAATTCATTTGACACTTGACCAGTTTTAGGCAAATAACATAAAACACACACCTGTCTATTTCCTTGGATCTGCATCGGAAAACCTTCCGCGTAAATATCAATAACTTATGCAGTATTATGCCATGAAAATGTTTATTTAAACAATCTACCCCAGCGCTATAGCATACAGTTATGCTTTGACTTCATGTTGCTGTGTAAATTCATTGACAGAGAGAGAAAAAAATATCATCCATGGTGTGCTATTCACGTGAGTACTTAGTAGAAACTTCTTTGCTTTCCATTGCCCCCTATTTTACCACATGCAGGAGTAAACCCAAGGTGGACGTTCCTTATCACTACTACAGAAATACCTCGGCTAAGGAGTGTATTACCTACACCGCAGCTGAGACCAGGCATGGTGCCCATCGCTTTATCACGGAGAAGGCCGTTTTTGCACGATGGGCCGTGACGTACAACATCTCATTCCACTATCCAGAATGGGATGTAACAAAGGAAAAGCTCTTCGATAAACTTGACACCCCTTTTATTAACAAGTACAAACCGAAGGCCAACAAAGGGACTAAAAAGGTGTAGCCATTACAAAAGCTTGCTAGACTTTTTTGACAAAGAGATCATATTTTACAATTTCACTACATAATCATAATCAAGATTAATTTATTTCTTTAATATGATGAAATATGAAAAACTGAAAACATTTATAATGAAAAAATTATAGAAATGACATTTTTCCGTTGACATGAAAGTCTGTTATAGGTTTAGAGGGGTAGGTATAGCACGTTTGGTTTAAACTGAATACAAACTAAATTTTGCTCCACTATACCTTCTGGACCACAGTAACGCAATTAAATCGCACATAAGCTTTAGCTCAGGTGGAAAGATGTTTAAGAAATATATTTTGTTTTTCACATATTTACAAGGCCCACTGAAATATTCGCGACTGAAGTGTAACTGCACTCCCTCCTAATTCTGGTCTCTTTCAAAATTATGCAGTTTTATTCAAGCTGATTAACCATAATCAATGTGACCATTACAATGGCTTTCATGAAACTATAGGCTTTGTAGAAGAGAGGTTGAACTTGGATACCAAAGTCCACACCCTTGAACTATCGTGATCCCGAGGGGACATGTCAATTCACGTCTTTTTTCATATGTAAAACAAAATAATTCCATGGCAGGATGAGGAATGTATGGGAGCGACGGGCAGTGCCTCAATTCAAACTTAAATAAACAAGTTCGGTAAAAATTTCTTGAGTACGACTTTGAATTTGGACGCTACGTCACTTACGTGGATAAAATGGTGTGTTTTTTTTTTCCAATTGATTGTTAAGTAATGCATTATTATTCAAGTCACGTGACAAAAATAAACACTGTGGCTAGCACCCACTTATAGACTAGCTTTCTAATAAATTCAAATTTATGCACGCATGCCCAAAAATGGGCCTGGGGTAAAAAAGCAAAAGCGGCCCTTTGAACATGTACAGGGGTCCAAACAGTTTGGTCTCAATTTTTCTCTCAATTTTATGCCCCGTTAAACGAGGTCCAAGGAAATCAGTAGGGCTCCTGTCTGCACGAAAAAGAGAAACATTGTCAGCAAACACGTTTTAAAAGATAGCGAAGGCAGTGTTTTCAATTCTCGATATTAAATATTTAATACGGAAGCCGGTTCGTGGTAAAAGAAGACATTATGAAATGACTTTGAAAAAAATATAACAATAGTATAGTGACGTAACGAAAAGGTTTGTTCATTCTTCAGACGGCGTTATAGCAAAGCGGTTGCGTGTTATTTTGCAATATCTCATTTTTTTCGCAATACCGGTAAGTTTTGCTTTTTTCACAGTATTGTGGAAAAATACTTGATAAAAAAGTGATAATATTGTAAAAAAAAAATAAAAAAAATAGTTTTGCAAACTAACGCGATAGTATTGCAAAATAACGCAGTGTTGCCTAATAACGCAGTATTGCAAAATTATGAAAAATTTAAAAAGTTAATTTGAAAACTATTTTGCAAAATTACTGCATTATTTCGCCATACTATTGCGTTGGCTTTTTTTATTTCACTTTTAAAAACCTGGTACGAACCGGCTTTCGTATAAAAATGAATAATAAATATCGATAATTGAAAATATGGCCTTCGTTATCTGTAAAGACAAATGGGACAAATCCTGGAGAAATTGAGAGAAATTAACTAAACTGTTTGGACCCATGTACATGCTACGTTCAAAATGCCGCCTTCGCTTTTTAGCGCAAAAGATCGGGGCCGCATAAGGGCCCCGGCAAAAAATGGATTCTACAATCCCGGTTAAAAAGGTTAGACACTTGGAAATAACCTTATAACCTCCCACGGTCACCCACTCCCCCGCTTCCCCGGTCAATGTTGTTCTCTCCAGCTGATGGAGCACACACCGCGCAATGAAAGACAACATTGAGCGGGGGGGCCGGGGGGTTGAGGGCCCAGCGAGATTTGGCCAGGATTGTAGATGCTCTGTGGTGCAATCTGAGAAGATTCCTGCCCATTATTTTTCAACTCACTTTTGTTAGCAACAGTTTTTATGATTATGGGGAGAATTTATTTTTAAAATGTGCAAATGTGCCCGTTTTAACGGCAAGTGTGCACATTTTTAGGCAAATATCCTTAGGCAAATATAGTTAAATTGTTAATAAATGAATAAATGAAAGGTTTGCGGAAACACCATGTGCGAATAATTTCTCAACTAAGAGAATGGTTCTGAAAATAACCAGAGGTATAAACTCGACTTTCCGGTCAGTATGCCCTGACCGTCTTCAGGAGAATTAAATTGTTCCGTCATAGTATGTCAAGGTATAAAGGCCCATTTAATCACAATAAAAATTGGCCAAAGAGAAATAAACTAGCGGCTCGATATGCCAATGGCCAAAACTCATCGCTTCAATGTGTGCTTTGTATGTTGTCTGAGAATAATGCCATTACTATCTTCAAACCAAGTATGCTTTTCAACACTTATTTCGGCAGGATAACTTTGTGGATAGCTGCAAATGACATTATACTCTACCTTTAAAGGACTAACCAATGAAAGAAATAAAATTAGAGCAAACCAATTAGATATTCAATTCGGGGCCGTATCATAAGTCCGACGCCTCATCTGAGGCATACAATTTATTTATTCCGCCTCATATGTCCGACGTCTCATAAGTCCGACGCCTCATAAGTCCGACGTCGGAAAAACGAAGCGTACGAGGCGTCTTACCTATGAGGCGTCGGAACTATGAGGCATCGGAGCTTATGACTATGAGGCGTCGGACTTACAAGGCGTCGGACTTACAAGGCGTCGGACTTATGGGCCTTTATTTGGTTGGGGGATGCGACTTTGTCGGACTTATGAGGCGTCAGACCTATGAGGCGTCGGACATATGAGCGGACCCCTTCAACCGTCAGTATATCGTAGGCTACATATAACTAGTAACGCTTACGTACAAAATAAATTGTGCGTACGAATAGCAGTAGCTGCGTGTCCAGAATCTGATGTCAAGCGGAGTGGCAACCGCACATCCGCGCCTAAATCATGTAGACATGTTTTTTTTGCTCCGGACGCTTGGCCTCCTTAAAATCAAAAAGCGCCGGGGGGGGGGGGGGGCCTGGTTCCCATCTTCCAATTAGGGGCGCTCTTCAAAACTGACCATTATTATCATTATTATGCAGACTGCAAATTATATGCCCATTTTCACGGCGCAGTGTGATGGTTTTGAGCGGGTTTTCTTCTTTGGGATTGATGTCAGTACTCTGTTACGATTTATTGAAATATTTACTGAAAAAAAAAATTGTCCAAAAAAATCCGCGGGGGGGATTTATATAGGCCTATGGGTACGCCACTGTCGAATAGTAATCCGTACCGGTACCGAAATGGTAAACAGTAACAAATCTATAGATATCTATTCATAGGCCTACATACTTTTTTCTTTTACTATGTCCTAGGCAGTTTTATGCATGCGAACTGACTACCGAGTTATTTACAAGAATAAAAAATAGAAGTTATTTAACCTCATTTTTAAATACACGTTTTTTGAGCTCGTTCGTCTTTTGTGTACATCCGATATTGTTGCATGCCTCGGGTTAAACCCATCAATGCCAACACGTAGGTCTAACCCATGCAGCAACTATGGCAACGTTTTTGGTCACCTCTTTACCGACCGCATTCAAGCTAGGGGTCAAAGTCCGATATGACGGCAAATAGTATACTCCAGTGTTACCCGGACCCTGTCTCTGAGATCACAACTCCTAAAAGAACCATGTAGACCTAATGGCCAACTGCCCGCGTCGCTCCAATACCAAAAGCCGAGCGCCTCCGGTATACCGAAGAGAAAGACTCATCTGTTATCATGGGTACCAATACCTTCTACAACATGTCTCGATGGGCTGCTTTCTGGTGCAAGCGAGCACTCCTGCGTGTGGTCTTCAGATCGTTTCTCTTGATGTCCATAATTTTATTATCGATATCCATCATGGTGCTGAGCCCCAATTTGTATTCCGTCAATGAGGCTCATAGGCCTACAACTGTCTCCGCACTAGTCACAGGAAGGCAGAGTATAAACAGCACATTACATTGTGCCATACAGAATGGCAGTCTCAGGTGAGATTCAAGTTATAATCAGTAGGCCTAGGCCTATATGAGAAAAATGACTTCTGCTGCAAATGCTAATTGACAGGATTAACCCGGAATAAATTACAGGGTCTTAAAATGCTTTGATCATACCGGAGTCTTTTTAGTTTGCCTTTACTTAGAAGATTCTTAAAGGGGCACTAGATCCTGCAATCCCCGAACATTTCATGTTTTGGATTGTTTAATTATCCAATTTTAAACATCTGGTTGAAAGGAAACCATTCTAATGTCTTACCATTCCCGAGAAAAGACGAAAAATGCCCGGTTGTTTACATCGGACACGACAGAGTACGAATCTTTTTTTCTGTCTTTCTCAGTCAATGTGCGATACACCGTGCTCGTGACCAATCACCGATGCACAGAATGTGGTTTCTTACACTTCGCAAGCCCTGCCCATAGCATATTTCACGTTTCTGTTTTATATTGCCGTTCTGCCGAAAATAGCCTTCGACGATACAGTCGTGTGGTTGCTAAGGCAAAGCGTCTGCCGTTGTTGGCATAGCTAATCCGATTACGTACTTCGACGCTTTAGCAGAGCAGTGAAATTCATGCACCACAAAACAACACGGCCTTTTGAACGTTGTGTTCTCAGAAAATATGCTCAGTATGATTGAAATGTTAAATTATAACGGAAGAAGAAATTCTAAACTTCATGTCAGTGAGAAAAAAAATCGCCGTCATCGATGCCGAACGTCAACTCAAATGGCTCCAAATATTAAAATGTCTATTTGGCTATGAAAGTTTTGATGTCTTAAATTAGTGTTAGCCTTATAGATGCATAATATATATTGTGACATTTATGCATAACAGCACACAGGATCCACCCACCCTAAAACCCTGGGAGCGTCGAGAACACGCATATAACAAAAATCGTGATTTTAAGGTCAATTTTTCATTTGAAAACACTTGGGTCAAGGTCACGTCAGTATTGAAGTTGAGCAGTTGTATGGAATACTTAGCTTCATAACATTGATAAACAGGCCATATCATGTCCGGCTTTGTCATGCTAGGTTGAGCTATACTTGACAAAAACAAATTGCCCAAAATTCCCCCTTCACGACCCTTCCTTTACAAAAATACGAGAGCACATAAATGAGTCTGACAGGGCCATAGCGCGACGCCTTATAAAGCCCGGTTCATATTCTGGGTGCAAAATCGAAAGTGAATGCAAATTTGTGACGTCATGGGGAGTATTCGAGCTGCGAATTCGTAAAAGTTGAATAAAAGGTTTGCGGAAACACCATGTGCGAACAATTTCTCAACTAAGAGAATGGTTCTGAAAAGAACCAGAGGTATAAACTCGACGTTCCGGTCAGTATGCCCTGACCGTCTTCAGGAGAGTGCCTAAACTCTATCTAAGAAACTAAACACTTAAATAGCAAAAGCGAAATCGATGAAGTATGAAGTTCGTCAAAGTTCGTCAAAGTTGAACACATTGCGACTCGGGCAAATTTCGCGGCGAATGTTTTATTGTTTCATGACGTCAAATTCGCTTCGCATTTGCATTTGCATGAAGTATGAACGCATCGTTATTTCGACGCCGAACATAATGAGGCGTCGGCTTACGAGGCGTCGGAGCCGCATCAATCCGACGCATCATTTTCCAAAATTTCGGACGTACGATATCCATACGGCCCCTTACTTTAGCTCCCCAATTTATTGGAAGTTGACACACTACTCCCCGAGGCGAATGGTTTGCGGGCACAGCGGCACAGCCAGCGGTACTTTGAAAAAGTACTTAATGTGGGTCGCAAAATGTCTTATTATGGAAAACTTTCTCGGCTTTCTTGCTTACGATGATTCTGAAAAGCCAATATCTTTGTTTATTTTTCAATTAAAATGGTTATTTTATTTAATTCAGTGGACGACATTTACGGTGTAAAAGTCCCTTGTTCGTGCAGTTCTTTTTTTTTTTTTAGATTTCAAAAGATAACCAAATACTGAGTTATTTTTTCCTCCAGTACCTTTGCACGGAAGTACGCGAATCATTACACCGCAAACGACGTAGACTTTCTTGTCGCAGTCGACATCATCATGAAACGGAAATGGCAACAGAACTCGGCCTTCAGTCAGGTTTTCAGGTAAGTTATCGTGGCGTATGTATTCAGGATAATTGAACTCGGAAAACTACAAAACTTTGCCCTGTACCAGTTTATACTTGTTTTCTCACTAATAATACGAGATTTCGCCTCGCCTTTTTGGAGGGAAGGTGACTTCGCCGAAGGCAAGAGGCCCGATTAGACATGAAGTTTTGTGTAGACAAAAATTATGTCCAACAAGGTTTATACGCAAAACCCTCCGAGGGCTTGTTTCAGTTCTTGTGGTTATTGCATCGCAGGGCACCTGCATCGTCCCAAGTCCTCAGAAGGGTAACAAGATCGACCTCACTAAGATTGTTGTTCAGTGAGTGTAAAAGGTTATATTCACCTGCAGTGCAAGGTCACAATCTTAAGATCCATGCATCATTACAGTGTGGACATGTTTAGTATGTTCACAGGTCCTCCAAATAGCATGTATAGCTACTGCTTCTTCAATCGGTCACCCCTCCCCTTGTCCCTCTTTTGGTTATACTCATAACTGTTTACAGGTTTATTTCCCCACCAAATTAGCAGATTTGGCGGCCAAATTGGCGACCAATCACCCACTTAAGCACGAGTTAGAATGCACGTTGAGATCAACATTCAATAACCTAAAAACACCAATCAATTTCACATTAGAAGCATGCGATTTCACATTTTAATCATGCAATTCAACAATAGGACATTCGGATTAAAATTGCACAAACGAGCATCCAAATTCGCCGGAGCTTCCAGCTGTGTAAGTTTGGTCATTCGAAGTGTGTGTGAGGCAGGGCAACCTTGGGTAGTACTGGCATATGTGAAAAGTAGGCAACGTAATTCGAGATAGGTCCGAGTCGTTCCGTTGTTTGTTAGAATAAGATGGAGCGCTTTTCTCCAATTGGAAATATAGACATAAAAACCTTTCTCCCACAAGACTCTGCCACTACCCTGATCACCATGCAAACTGTTAGATTGAAGCACTAGAAATATCAATATGCCAGCTCATTGGGCATTACGTGAGAATTTCAAATGTAGACCGTGGTCGTTGGATCGAAGCTTTCGATGGCTATGCCCAAGACTATCTTGAACTTGCAGACAAGCTTGGCATAAACAAATCAACTGCCAGGTCAATTGTAGCAACATACAATGTATCTCAGATCTGGCAGACAGAAAAACCTGCCAAGAGGAGGGGCCAGAAACACAAAAATGGACCACGACATGAAGCAGAAAAAATGAAAAGGTGAAACAAATGAAAAGACTCGCATCGTATACCTTCGTTTACTTTTATTTTGAATGCAAAAAGTACTATAAGAATGTGCGGAAATGAAACAAAACAAGAATCTGATGCGAATAAGCCTAAACCAAACCGACTGTTAAATTGAATGAAGACTTAACCGAATGACATAACTTCAATTTAGGATGTGTTAAACATGAAAATGTCAGGTTTACAACGAATTTGAACGCCTGAAATCTAATTCCAACCACGGGAATGACAGCAGGGCGCTACTTCGCTTCAAATCGGCCACCAGCAAGATGAATTCGAAAGCTATTCTTACGAAATTGGCCGGGAAAAAATATTATGACCTCCCATAATATTTTGTATAGGCCTACACACCTCTTAATAGAATTTTGCTAAACGACGTACCCTATTGTCCTCTATTGTTCAAGGACTAATGTTTGAATGTGTATGTACCCACATACTCCAGCACGTGTGTGCGCTTTAAAATATAGGTTTTCCCGGCCAATTTCGAAAAAATAGCATTCGAATTTATCTTGATAGTGGCCAATTTGAAGCGGAGTAGCGCCCTGCTGTCATTCCCGTGGTTCGTATTAGTTTTCAGGCGTTCAAATTCGTTTAAAGACCTGACATTTTTCTGTTTAACTCATCCTAACTTGAAGTTATGTCATTCGGTTTAAGTGATCATTCAATTTAGCAGTCGGTTTGGTTTAGGGTTATTTGCATGAGATTCTTGATTTCTTTTTCATTTCCGTGCATTCTATTTAGCACTTTTTGCATTCAAAGAAATTAAAATAAAACGAAGGCATAGCCTACGACGCGAGTCTTTTTATTTCTTCCACCTTTTTATCATTTCTGCTTTTCCGTTTCATTTTTTTCAAAGTGTCTACTATCTGTCTCTTTATTCTAAAGAAGTAAAAATGTAAACAAATTAAACAAAAAGGGGACATAACTAAACATATATGAATATATGAAACAACAAACCTATAGGCAACAGTAAACTTAGGTGATGTTTTCCCTTCTTTTTATCGTGTTCACATAAATCTTAATTCTTTATCTTTGGGTTTTGATCTTCTGTTTTCAATTGTGATCTTGGGTATATATATTTGTTAAATATCTCTTATTTTGGAATGATGAGGATACTGTCTCCTGCAGGCCCGTTAGCCATCGATCTCTTGCCCTGCCAAGCATCTACATTAGAAATTCTCATGTAACGCCCATGAGCTGCCATGTTGATATTTCTAGTGCTTCAAGTTAACAGTGTGCACGGTGATCAGAGTATTGGCAGAATCTTGTTGGAGACAGGTTTTTATATCCATACATCCAAAGGGTAACAAAGGCACTCTTGTTACGCACATCTATTCTAACAAACAACGGAATGACATAAACCAATTTCGAATTCATTTGCTTACTTTTCACAAATGCCTGGTGAATTTGAATGACCAAACTTACACAGCTGGAAGCTCCGGCGAATTTGGATGCTCGTTTGTGCAATTCTAATTTGAATGCCCTGTTGTTAAAATTGCATGTTTAAAATGTGAAATCGCATGCTTCCAATGTTAAATTGATTGGTGTTTTTAGCTAATTGAATGTTGATCTCCACGTGCATTCAAATTCGTGCGAAAATGAGTGATTGGTCACCAATTTGGCCGCCAAATCTGCTAACTTGGCCGGGAAAGCCTATAATACGGTGTTTAAAAGAGCGCTACAACATTTTGTTTGTATGGTGATAACTAAGAATTGATTATAAAGGGGCCAATTATGGCTGTTTAAGTTAAGCAAAGTTTTCTTGTAAAGAATGCATCACTGTCTTCTGCGTGTGTTACTTTGTAGAAACGACTTACGGGCTGCCTTGGGAGACAAGGGGAAACTAGACAGATTTATCCTTACCAGACAAAATGTACGTTGGGGAGACAAAATCAACTTCTACAGGCATAAAGCATCTGCAAGGATATCAAGACAGTTGTGGCAATTGTTGCCAAAAGTAAGTAAAATACATTTCATCATCCGCGTAAAACCACACCCTAATCCAAGTCATCATAAGGTAAACAAAAAATAACTTTACTTTAACTGTGAAAACTCTTTCAACCCATTTTTTTATGATTCCCTTTAGTGTTTCTCTTCATTTTGCCACGGATAAACCTAACCCCAAAAATGCCTATAAACCTGTTTTCCAGAGAGAGCGAAACGTTATGTGGACACGGCTTATCCACAAAACGTCAACACAACCTGCATTATGTGGACATCTTTTGTTCACAAGTCCAGTTAGTGCTTGTAAGACAAAATTCAACCGTGCTTTTTGGGTAGTTATGGGGTACCACTATTGTCCACTTCTATTATTCTACTTTGTTCCTATTGAAATCTCAAACTCCATAGTGTTTTACATATAGGGTACTTAGATTTCTAAAAACCGACTTGTAGGGTACCATTGTCCCTATTGTTGCCCTTTGTTCCCGGTACCCCATAAGTCAGTATACGTATATACTTTGACACGCCAACACACTTTTCGAATTTCCAAGGCCGGAAAATTTTTGGATTATGATCATCCCCCTCCCCTGCAGTGGCGTAGCCACGGGGGGGGGGGGGGGGGCGCCAGTCGCGCCGCCCCCCCCCCCCCCGACTGAGATTTTGAGTTTCTAAAAAAATTATCATTGATCTACATGACGTCCCCCCATGAAATGTTCCAGCCCCCCCCCCCCCCCCCCCACCCCCACTGAAAATTCCTGGCTACGCCACTGCTCCCCTGGTCCCCGGCACAGATTTACGCCACTGTTGATAAAAATATTCCATTTCAGCTCAACAGCTAAAATGAACTCGTTGGGGATCAACTATGAGCTAATGTTACTACCCGAAATTAAATGTAATAATGGACCCATAATGGTAATAACATTCGGCGCGTAATTCACCCTTAAATTTTGTCCCATATGTAGTAACTGAATCTGGTACACGGTACCCTCTGGAGACATGTGCACAATAGGGAACCAAATATTGTATACGTCTCCACAGAGCAATTTCTACAAGTGAATTTCCACAAGGTTCTCACGAAATAGATATATGGATTTTACTCAAAAACTAGGAATTTCCAAGGTGTGTGATGGTTAGTCACAAATGGAAGTATTTCATAAAGGGATGTTAAGTCCGAATTTCAACACAGGAAATTAATTCTGATTAAAATAGGAGCATTTCGAAAGTACACTTTCAAACTCGAAAACTTTAGTACTGATAACAGCAACAAGGATACTCAAGGATACAAATGTTAGTATGGGTGACCCGCAATGTTTATAGGTGTTTTCGATCTGTAATGTAAACAGAAGGACCGACCGAGATGTAATAAGTATTAGCATAGGCTGTTATGTACTTTTGTATTTTTTTTTGCTTAAGAAGGAATTTTTGTCATATTTGGATAGAGTTTACCTTCCTGAGCCAGAAATCCATTGGTAACATTTTTTTCCATCTACCATGTGGCGGCCATCTTGGATTTCAAAATGGCCGCCATTTCGGACCTAATGTGTATCATAACTTCGGACCTGATTGTCACATGAAGTCTATTTTGGTGGCAAACCCTATGTTTTTGATAGCAAGGAACCCAAGTAAGTTGTTGTTGAAGGGGTACTCCCAATGGATGGCAGCCATCTTGAATATTTCAAAATGGCCACCATTTCGGACCTAATTTGTATCATAACTTCGGACCTGCATTGTCGTATGCAGTCCATTTTGGTGGCAAACCCTATTTTTTATACCAAGGAACCCTAGTAAATCATTGTTGGTGAGGCACTCTCAATGGATGGCAGCCATCTTGGATATTTCAAAATGGCCGCCATTTCGGAGCTCATTTGTATCATAACTTCGGACCTGATTGTCACATGAAGTCCACTTTGGTGGCAAATCCTATGTTTTCAATACCAAGGAACCCAAGTAAATCAAATTGACAGGGTAGTTCCAATGGATGGCAGCCATCTTGGAAACTTCAAAATAACCGCCATTTTGGATTCATTTTAATAATAACGTACGTTGCAAGTGAATGTCGTATGAAGTCCATTTTGGTGGCATACCCTATGTTTTCGATACCAAGGAACCCAAGTAAATCAAATTTGATTGGGTAGACTAATGGATGGCAGCCATCTTGGATACTTCAAAATAACCGCCATCTTGGATTTCATTCTAATAATAACGTATGTTGCATTCGGTGGCAAACCCCATAAATTTGATACCAAGGAATCTAAAAAATACATTATTGATGAGGTATTCCCAATGGATGGCAGCCATCTTGGATATTTCAGAATAAGCACCATTTTGCAGTTCAGTTTTTAAAGGGTCTCTATAGCCACGGTGACAAGTGTTGACCATTCGTGGACTGGACTTTAATTATTGGCAATAGTAGAGCGGCATAGTGACAGAATTGTGCACTTTGTGGTTAAATTTGGCATGTCACGTCTTCATGCCTTGACGAGAATTTTCAGATATGGAGGCATTTCATATCTGACCCCTGGTGACCTTTGTGAAGGGTCAATGAATGGGAAGAATGAAGAATTCAGGTGCCACTTTAGTGGTTGTGTACAAAGTCTATGGAAAGTCAAGAAAGTTTTTTAAGTATTTTCCAAACAAAATTAAAAATGTCTTTTCAACACTTTTTCAATGACTGACCTTCATTGAGATGATATACGATGAAAAAAAGTGATGTCAAGATGCAACATCTTTTCCCAATGAACTTTGTATACCCCAAGTGACGCTATTTATTTAATCTTCCAGATGCCACTTTTCATGACCTACATGTGTGTAAGTCTTAATAGTGAAAAAGAAGAGTATTTTAACAATTATTCTATAGTATGTAATGATTCAGACCCAAAGACAATTTTGTCATGACCTCTGATCTCCATTTCCCTGTTTTGAGAAGGTACATCGGACAAGCATCACACTCTAACAGAGACCAGTGGGCTGTGTAAAAAGGTTTAAAATGTGGTTACTCAAGTCCATCTGGATAGCAGAGTGTAATAAGAACACAATAATGAATACTGCTTGACATTTGTTAATATATTCCATTGCATTCGTATCGCAGCATGTTAAGTCTGCCATTAATTAAAAAAGAAAAAGAAAACTGAGTTCAGAGGTCACCTCAACATTTTTTGTGCATGGGGTCTTTAATTAATTCAATACATGACTATGGAATAAATATGATAGATGTCGTAGGAAAGGGAAGTTTTACAGAATGATTGTTAAAGGTTGTTGACTCTCAAAGTCACCAGAATTCAAATATGAAATGCGTCATATATCTAAAAATTGTCTTCAAGGCATCAAGAACCAAATTAAAGTTTAATTCGTAATTTTATCACAGATTGCACAATTCTTGGTATTATTGGGGCTATGCCGCTCCACTACAAGTACGTGTGAATGCTGTCTATAGTTAGCAATTAGTAAGTCCACTTCAGGTTATGTGTGTGCCTGGATTTCTTTTTGTTCGTAAGTGGCTCTCTGCATCAACTGCATCACATGCCCAGACAACCCTGGTCCTGTCGTGGCTGGGCTAGATATGAAAGCAGAGTCACAACTTTTGGTGACTCGACTCGACTCAAGTCCCTAAGGGTAAATGACTCGACTCGACGGCGAGCAAACGACTCGAGTTCTCATCAGAAGACTCGACTCGACTCGAGCGAAGGATAATTAGGCTTGAGTCCTAAATATAAAAGCAAAACTTTGCAAACAAATTTAATTGCATTGACTAACGATGCAACATTTATGTTCATGCCGCTTTGCGAATACAGTTACAGCGGCCGCATGTAATGTTCACGTGTCACAGACTCCCATACCACATCATTCTGGAAGGCACAAAATACTATTCACCGAGGAACCGGATTTTAAACACATCTTCCAATTTGTTGTTTCATCATTAGCTTTGGGCAATTTCTTATAAAGTTCTTGGATACAAACGCCGGCTACATTTATGCCCTCCTTTTAAAAATTAAATAGAAACATACCGACTCTTAAATAATCAGAAACAGTTTTGATTAATGCAATTTTGTTTAATGCAATTTGGTTTTGATGTCAGCGTATCAGCGAAATAAAATCTAGACCCCAAGCCAAACCAGATAGCCTTTATAAGATCGAAGTTTCACTTCTTGTTAACTGTTAGTGATACAAATTACTTTCTCTCTTATCTTTGTTATGTAGTTTTCAAATATTTGTAACTGGAATTGACTCGAGGTAAACATTTGACTCCACCCGATTCGACTCAAATTAAAGTAATGACTCAACTCGACTCACTTCTTTAAATGACTTGACTCGACTCGGCTTGACTCGAGTCACAGAAATTAGTGACTCGTTACAATTCTGATTCACACCAATTTATGTGTTATCAGGTGCCTGGGAAAGACGGTTGAACAAGTCTGCATGGGTTGCTTCTGATCTGTACAGTCAGGTTACAGTCTGTCCAATCATATCCAGCAGTCATTATGATCGTGCTGTTGATGCCCATGACTCGTTACACTCCAAGTATTAATCCATGTGGTTTGAAAACATAGAGAAACCTGCCATCCATCGGGGTAACAATGTATAGATTCCTTGGCATCAAATTTATGGGGTTCGCCACCAAAATATCCAAGATGGCTGCCAACCATTGGGAGTACTCCGTCAACAATGATTTACTTGGGTTCCTGGGTATCAAAAATATGACGTTTGCCACCCAAAATGGACTTCGTACGACATTCAGGTGCAACGTTATTATTTAAATGAAATCCAAGATGGCAGCTATTTTGAAATATCCAAGATGGCTGCCATCCATTGGGAGTACCCTTTTAACAATGATTTACTTGGGTTCTTTGGTATCAAAAACATGGGGTTTGCCACCAAAATGGACTTCATACAGGTATGACAATGAGGTCCGAAGTTATGATACATAAGGTCCGAAATGGCGGCCATTTTGAAATATCCAAGATGGCTGCCATCCATTGGGAGTACCCCCATCAACAATGATTTACTTGGGTTCTTTGGTATCAAAAAAAGGGGGGTTGCCACCAAAATGGACTTCATATGACAATAAGGTCCGAAGTTATGATACAAATTAGGTCCGAAATGGCGGCCATTTTGAAATATCCAAGATGGCTGCCATCCATTGGGTGTACCCCATCAACAGTGATTTACTTGGGCTCCTTGGTATCAAAAACATGGGGTTTGTCACCAAAATGGACTTCATATGACAATCAGGTCCGAAGTTATGATACAAATTAGGTACTAAATGGTGGCCATTTTGAAATATCCAAGATGGCTGCCATCCATTGGGAGTACCCAATCCACAACACCTTACTTGGGTTCCTTGGTATCAAAAACATAGGGTTTGCCACCAAAATGGACTTCATGTGACAATCAGGTCTGAAGTTATGATATACATTAGGTCCGAAATGGCGGCCATTTTGAAATCCAAGATGGCCGCCACATGGTAGATGGAAAAAAATGTTACCAATGGATTTCTGGCTTAGGAAGGTAAATTCTACTCAAATATGACAAAAAAATCCTTCTTTAGCAAAGCAAAAATGCAAAAGGTCAAAAATGTGACATAATATACTATATGCATTTCCTACTGTTTACAGACGAAATATGACTGTGCTTGTTTTTTATGATCATTTTGGGGAACTTAATATTTTTAGGGACTTTAGTTGGGTGATCGGGCTAAAAATATCAATTTTTGAAGATGATTTGGACAACGGTTCACATTATGAACTTGAAAATTGGACTGAACATAAATCCTGACTTATATTACTGTGTAGATACTACTGTGACGTTATTGTGAAGTCATCAGTTATTACCGTACGACTGATTTTCTTCATAAACGTGACTTTCGTTATCTATAAGTTATAAATTGAATGAAAATCATAACGCTTTGGTTCTGAGAGACTATAGACATTGATAAATATATTACATTCTCAAGGCAAATTCGCTTGACCTCTCCTTTCTGGGTAAGACCGGGACGTCAAACTTCACGTCAAAATATAGACACAATCCTTAAAAAAGGTCGAAGATGAAACCTGTTTTAAAAAAAATATACTCTTTTCGGAGGATGTGGACAAATTGTGTGACGTCTTCAAGACGTTACTAGGTATTGAATTGCATGCGATTTAATGTTAGAATTAAAGTGACAAATATTCTGAACCCAAATGCAGTTGCCATGTACCGCGTACATTTGCTATTTTATGTGATGGATATTGCCTTGGGCAACTGTTTGATTCGAGAGCGGAAGCAGATTGACGGTTACTTTCAGTTTTACCGAAAATGCATTGAGAAATAAATATGTAACTTGAATATAGAAGCACAATAATTATACTAATTTAGTAAATGTTTAATTGGGGATTTAAATTGCAAATAATGACACGATAAAGACATAACCCAGCAGCACGTCAATAAACTATTTTTAAAATGTGTCTTTTATTTTATGAATCATTTGATAAAATGCAAATTGTCAATATCGATTTTCTTTTTTAGACAACCACACAATTCTAAGCGACCCGACCGGAAATTATATGATGAACATTTTTGAAACCGACGTCCTTAACTTGCAATTTGTAAATAATAAACCTCTGGATGTGTGCATTGGTGAGCTGAATGATACAGGAAGTTATGTGTAATTTCTACATTAGTCACGCAATATTTGATTTTTTTCTCGTTCTTTTCAACATACGTTTTTTCCGAATGTGTATAGACAAATCCAGCGGCAGCTATTTTCTGCTCAGGAAGAGGCTTCATTGGGTTTTTTTTTTGGGGGGGGTTTGGATAAAATTAATTATTCGCATTTGATCCGGAGAAATGAGGGCCTGATTGCCTTGTTCGTGTATAGCAAAAAACAAACGCAAAATGTCGAGTTCAATTTTACGTTTTGTGGAAACTAATTCTCAAGTCTTTTTCTTTTCAAATTGACATTACATGATCACATGCTTACTAAGTTGAGGCGTCGTATGACTTTTATTACAGGGTTGCAGTAAGGTCACGTCATGTAAACTGAAAACACAAACAAAATCCTCAAAACTATCAATGAAAGTATCACTGTCCGATAAGGATATAAAACATGTTTCGAGTCATGGTGATGAAATAACTTTTCGTAACAAATCATGACGTCATTACATACCTACAAATCGGCATTGGTAATTTTTTTAAATGTTAGCAAATGGTTAAATACTTTAAGGTGCTTCTAGATAGCGCTCGTTTAGGTTATGACGTCATCATGTCATCTTCATACTGTGTTTTATTTTCATCCCTCGACCCGTTTTCAACCTTTTTTTGTAATATGAGGCGTCTGTCTGCATTTTTAATTAATCTAAGTTTGACCTTCAGGTCAACCTTCCGGTTTATCAATGTCAACAAAACAAACAAACATGATTTTTCTGTTGATTATATGTTATAATGATCAAAATCATGTTCTTTTTATGTAATTGCTTGCATGTAGTACCTGATGACGGATGACGTCAAAGTGAAGTAGGCGTCAAGATAAGTTTCAAGTTCATATTGCTATGAACGTTTTGAAGAAAGGTTGCAGTTAATTTTGTGCGAATAATTCCTAAACCGTAACATTAACAACCCATATTACCTTCAAAAGTCCATCAGATGAGACAGCATTAAAAGTCCCTCTGGGTTGTGGCAACTTGTAAAATATTATTATTTTCAGATTGAATTGATAATTTCATGGCATTACATTAGTTATGAGCTGAACTATTGCTTGGGTGTGGTTGAACTGGATGGTGTGCTGCGGGCAAGGCGGTAAACTGCCGCCATAATGGATCGGCGTCGCCGGCCTTCAAATGCTAGACCGCTCGCTGACGTGGACTGGCCCGACCGGGTAGCAGACTCAAGAGACTAAACCGCCACAATACTAGCAAATTCATTCTAAATTGAAATTAACAGCCCCATTAATATACAATAGTCCGCCTGGGCGGAATTGTAAAACTATACCATTTGCTAACATTTTACCAAATAGCCCATATTGATTTTTTAGAAATTTCTTGGCGAAGTTTTACAATGATGACAATATTAGACTGGGAATGATCGAAGGAGAATGTAAAACTGATTTCTTTACTTTTTACTACATGTAGTAATAATCTTAGAGCCCAATGCTGATATCGGTAATGATGTTTAATTTCATATATATTTTTAATATTTTACCAAAAGTTTTTTTTTAATTAAAAGAAATGTTTAATTAAATTACAAAATACTTAAAAACTCTTTCTCTTGCGTTTAACTTTAAGCTTACTTGTAAAATGTTCGTGTCATCCATTCTTTTCCTCCAGGATACGTTTTTCAAACCAGGAATCATCCAACGCTGCAGCGTAGTCGGTTCAAGTGGCATACTCAAAGGCTCCCAGTGCGGTCACAGTATAGACAAAGCAGATTTTGTTTTTAGGTAAATTACGTTGCCCCTTTTTCGGCAATAATTAGCGTAATGCTTTCTTCTAAGATTTATTTATCTAAAGGCCCAGTTACACATTCACGGTTGGAGCCACAAATATCCACGGTTTACCAAGAATCACGATGAACCTTAACGATTCGTGGAGAAATCGACTTTCTAAGAATGCACTACGGTTTCAGGACGGATAGCCACAACTGTCGTACAGTTTCTCTACGAATACACCACGGTTTGTCAAGAATATGGACGGATTGTTGAAGAATATCGACGATATTACTAAGAATAGTGACGTTTACGCCACGGTTGTCTGCGATTGGGCCACGGATGACCAAGGTTCTCCTACGAATAAAGCCAGTAGCGTATCTAGCTTTTGATGGGGGGGGGGGGGGGGCAACCGCACCGCACATCCTGGCGCCGAAATGTTGACAATAGGGGCGCTCTTCAAAACTGACCATTATTGTGCATATACAATGTACTGGAAAATCTAGGCCGATTTTCACGGCGGCATTGTAATGATTTTTGAGCTGGTTTTCTTTTTGGGTTGACGTCAGAACGTCCTTACAATTTATAGAAATACTTACTGAAAAATAAATCTTTCAACAAAATCCGCCAGGGGGCAAGTTTGGATACGCAACTGAATAAAGCATACATAATTCGTAGTGCGACCTAAGGGCCCTGTCACACTTTTGCGTATCCTCATTCCTTATGAGTTGCGCATTGACATTTTTTTCATACGCAGTCGTACGCACAATACGCACCTCATATGCATCTCTATCGTTTTGTGTAGGTTTTATGTACGTAGATATACGCATGGTACGGCCTAGTACGCAGGATAGTTTTGGGCATGCACAAAACTACGCTGCGTACGCTGTTACGCAGGTCATAAGTTATAAATACGCAGCGCATCGGTCCCGCATCGGTCGAGTGCGTTACGAGTACGCTATGTGTTCGTGACGCCCTCCGTCAGCATATGAGCCGCCTGTATTGGACGTATACATAGCGTACTTGCAGCGCAGATGCAACGCACGCTGAACGGCGATCGAGCGGCGGAAATGCGGCGGGAATACGCTCAGAAGTGCGTCAAGCATGCGGTCGGCATAAGTCGGGTGCGTCCGGAATACGCTCGGCATGCGCACTGCATACTGACCTATTCGCAGCCCGAAAAATAATGTTTTGCACTGCATACGCAACTCATACGCATCTCATACGCAATGGTTGCGCTGAATTCGTTACTTGTACGCTAGATGTGCGTCGCACATAAGTCAAAGTGATCAAAACATTTTGACGTTAATTGAGCGTACGGCTGCGTATTGAATTTTTTTGATAAGGAACTCATAAGGAATTAGGATACGCAAAGGTGTGACAGGGGCTTTAGCAGGATCCTAGTATATCCGGGCATAAGCGAATTCGTAGAGATTTCTACCGAGAATTAGCTACGAATCTCTAAGAACACGTACGAATAGCCACGAATAACACTTCGAGTTAGTACGGTTGTCCTACGGATGTCCCGCGGTTGCAATACGGATTGATTTTCATGTCCATGACGATTCACCACGGAAGATTGAAACAGTTTAAAATTTCTGTTGCCCCTCCACGAATACCCAAGGAAGATGACGGATAACCACGGATGTACTAAGGATGAATACGGTACTCCCGCGTTTATCACGAATTTTAAACCGTGGATATCCCTTAAATGTGTGACTTTACATAGACGAATGAATGAGTACCGTTTATTCTTCGTGATCACTTAAACATTGCGTCGGGCAATATTTTGGATTCCCGGGCACAAAGCCGTTCGACTTTTACTTCCAGCGTTGAATATAACTTGAAAACGAAAACATTTTACTGCATACAAACGAGTTATGGAAGTGTTAATGGACGAATGTTAACACAAAAACTGGCACGAATACGTTATTACCCAAAAGTTCGCCCTCTAGCAGCATATCAAATAAAGTTTAACTTGTTTCAATTTAAAATTTGACCCGCAAGGCTTATGTTTGTGGTGTAAATTGAGGATTTTCATTGGTTTTTTTACACGTTTTATAAGCGAGGAGTTCCTCGATTTGGTCCCTATCCTCGATTTGTCGATGACGTTGCACGTGCGTGTCCTCGATTTCCACCATAAACAAACGCATGTGAAACATCCTTGTAATTGAAGACAGGAGTCAAATCGAGGACGTCCTCGATTTTTCAATTAATGTCTCATGGGAAAATGATATTTTTTTACACTAACAAATGATCATTTTACACTGGAATCCTCACCCTTATAATATTCCGAATATAAGAGTTCTTTAATGGTTACATTTACAGATTCAACCTGGCAGACGTCAAAGGATACGAGACAGATGTTGGCGGGAAAACCAATTTCACAACCTTAAATCCTTCACTTATTATGATAAAGTAAGCGAACCGTCATTGGGTTTTGATCGGTCAGGTCGGCCGCTCTTGTTTTTCCTTTTTTCATAATACATTTTTTACCCAGGAGAGTGGTTTACAAAGCAGTGATGCAGTGCCTTGATGCACACCCTTGGCCTTAAGGCTGCCTTGAGGCTGGATTTTAGGGCCTTGGCCAAGGCCAAGACCCTAAAATCAGCCTAAAATCCAGCCTGGAGGCAAGGCAATTGGCCATTGGCACAAAAGCCTTTTGTTTATATAGCCTTGAGAATCAATTCCTTGTAAATAGAGTAAGAAGAGATGGTGTACATAGGGAAACAAGCAGGCACGGGTCCTTTTTTTAAGCAGACTTGTGCTGCTTGGGAATAAAGGGGATGGTCTCCAGACGGGCATATTAGTGTCCCCTCATGCAGCTCGATTAGCTATTAACTGCTGTATAAATTTTTGAATCAAATGTTTTGGGGGAACCAACCAGTTATTTTCCCCTGCCCAATCTTGAGTGAACGCGTCGGTTGCCTGAGTACCTGGATTCCAGTATCTGGAATTCAAATGAGTTCCTTTGGAATTATAATAACTGGCAAACCGATCAATATAGTGTTGGGACCCCACATTGTGATCAAATAAAGAGAACATTTTCTCTGAGGTATGCCAATCGTCATAATCAACGAGATTACTAAGTCTTAACGGCGCTGTACTAGCTGCTGCCACGGGAGATATGTTGCTCCCACTTTATCACCGGTTTATAGCCGGAATCTGTCTTGTTGCCTCGTTGGTCCTGTTGGAACGTCTTGTTGAATATGTTGTCTTACGTCATGAAGCAAATCAGAGCATCAGATCGTCTCCGGGAGCTTGCCGATGGAGCGGGAATTTTGAACATGGAATTCCCAACGTGAGTACACCTACCGGTTGCCATAACGGTCTTGAAGACGGTATCGGTACAACGATCTTCAACAATACCGCCACGGTGACACGCTTTTTGGACAATGGGCAACCCATTGTATCTGCTGGTGCTACACCAAACGACAGCTGCTGTCCTTAGGTGAGTGTAAAGTGCCTAACTGCTGAGACCTATCACAACCTGAAACAATTAGGTATTGCTCGTCATGCAAGAGGCCGACGAGCAGGTACGCATGTGTTCAAAAAGATCCGGACTTGTTGTTCCCCAACTCAAAACCCACGTAAGAGCAATCTCCATACCAGTATCACGTCTAACCTTCGACCAATATCCCTGGCCAAACCATTTTCAAGTCTGAACATACACATCTGGAATGCGCATTCCATACGCAACAAAACCACCACTCTATTGGACCATATTCTATTGTTGACGTGATGTTGTTGACTGAGACCTGGCTTTCTGATGATGATATGGTGATAATTGGTGAATGTACCCCTCCTAGCTACATGTTCATCAATTTTCCTCGTAGGGGGGCCGACCCATGGTGGCGGGATTGGCATAGTGCACAAGAAATCGCTAAACTATGTTCTACCCCGTCTGGGTTCTCCTCAGTTAACTTTGAACACTGCACTGTTATGCTCAACAACTGTATATCGGAATATAATTATCGTCCGCCTCCATCACGTGTTAATGGACTGAAAATCTCCGAACTTTTGGAAGAGTTTGAGAGATTTGCGAATGAGACCTTAACAAGACTGTTCAACTCTACCCAATTGTGATTCCAATAAAAAACTTGCTGACAACCTTTTGTTGTTTTCAAGGAAAAGGTTGAAAACATACGGTCCAATGTGTACACTCGCTAACATGGGTGTTAGTGTTACTGATGCGACTTCCACTGTCTTTTCGTTCACTGAGTTTGAGCGGATTACTTGTGACGACGTTAAACAAATCACCATGCGTCTTCCAAATAAATCGTGTTCATTGGATACTGTACCATCCTGGTTGGTTAAAGAAAATCTGTCCACTCTTCTCCCGGTTATCACACACGTTGTTAATGCCTCCCTCTCATCTGGAATTTTCCCATCAAATCTTAAACACTCCATCATAACTCCTGTAATTAAGAACAGTTCACTTGACCGTAATCAGTTAAAGAGTTATCGACCTGTTTCCAACATACCTTTTCTATCCAAGGTTATAGAGAAGGCCGTGACATGTCAAGTGATTGACAACATGGACAGCTACAAACTAGGTGAACAGTTCCAGTCCGCGTACAAGCGTCATCACAGTACCGAGACTGCCCTTCTTGGGGTCAAAAATGATATTCTTTGTTCCATGGATAAAAACAAAGCTGTTTTGTGGTCTTGCTTGACATGTCGGCCGCCTTCGACACGGTCGATCACTGCATCCTTCTACATAGACTCCAGAGCCATAAGAGGTACAGTTGAGTCTTGGTTCAGCACATGGCATACCTAAAAGACCCCACAGCCTACCTTCAAGAAGACCTGAATGCACTTCAAGAGTGGGAGACTGAGTGGCTCATGGAATTCAACACAACTAAGTGCCAAGTCCTACGTATCACCAACAAACGCACTCCAATCACAACGACCTACACCATCCACGGGCACGAATTGGAACTCGTAGACTCGGCCAAATATCTTGGAGTGCAATAGACTCAAAGCTAAACTTCAACATGCACGTAGATACAGTCACCAAGAAGGCAAATTCTACCCGTGCCTTCTTGAGCCGCAACCTCAGTCATTGCAGCCGAAAGATCAAGGAAAGTAGCTACACCATGTTTGTCAGACCAATAGTAGAATATGCATCAACATCATGGAACCCCCACACTCAACGTAACATAAAAAAACTGGAACAAGTTCAGCGTAGTTCAGCAAGATTTGTGACAGGCGACTATGACTGGTCAAGCAGTGCTACTGACATGATCAAAGATCTCCATTGGCGTTCCCTAGCTGATAGACGGTACTTAGCTGGGCTGGAAATGATGTACCGCATTCGGTTTGACTTGATCGACATCAAATGGTCCCAGTACCTCGTACCATCCACAACTACCACCAGAGGTCATGCGTCTCGCTTCCAGTGCCCATACTCAAGCTCACAAGCGTATACCAACTCCTTCTTTCCTCGCACACGGCGTGACTGGAACACACTTAAGAAGGACCCTGCAGCATCTCCATCCCTTGACGCCTTCAAGTCTGCGCTAAGGGATCAATCAGTGATGTAAACCACATACATCGCTTTTTTACTCTGCACATCTGTACATACTGCACCTGCACGCATTCACACACACACCACAGTGCGACTATACTCATCTTTTGAGGACTGCACTCCATGGAAGGAAGGAAGCTAATGTTTCCATCAAAGGAGATTTGTCCGAAGAACACATTTTCACCTATTCCATACCCCCCGGGATCCGTAGTAGGTCCGTTGGGGTTCATTATGTACACCAATCCCATCGGTGAGATCATGATATCCAGCTTGATGCTGAGTTTGACCCTAAATCTGAAGGCTAAAAGGTGATTGTCAACAGGTACTTGGCAATTTATCATCTTGCGTTTTCATGATCAATGAATGGATGTCTGAATCTTAACCAAGACAAGACTGAGTTTATTGTTTTCGCCAGTAATCATGTTGTTGCTAATCTCCCTGATCTCCAATTAGAATTGGGAAACTTATGCATTCCAGCTTCCACATCCATTAAGGACTTAGTCACGCTGGATTCTTCTTTGAAAAGTCTCATCACGTTGGCTCTCTTTGTAAAACTGTTAATTTCCACACACGCAACCTGTGGCGTATATATTCGCCGGTTTATTACACAGGATGCCTGCCATCACGCCGTCAGAATTCTTGTGGCCTGTCCATCTCGACTATGCGAACTCTCTTTTGCTAGGTGCTCGTGAAAACGATCCCAAATGGTTACAGCGCCTACAAAACAAGGCTGCTCGGCTGGTCTTCGCATGCGGCCGGGACCAGCCTTCTGAGGGCCTGCTGGCAGAGCTTGTTACAACTGATAATGTATTAACCAACTGATAATGTATCACCAACCGATAATGTCACACAAATTGACCGATACTGTATCACTAACTGATAATGTAACAGAAATAGACCGATAGTGTAGTTAATGTTACTACACTATCGGTCAATATTTGTTACATTATCGGGTAAGACCGATAATGTAACAACAATCGACTGATAGTGTAGTACATTTTTACTACACTATCAGTCAATTTCTCTTACATTATCGGTTAGTGATACAGTATCGGTCAATTTGTGTGACATTATCGGTTAGTGATACAGTATCGGTCAATTTGTGTGACATTATCGGTTGGTGATACATTATCCGTTGGTTACTACATTATCAGTTGTGACAGAGCTACATTGGCTCCCTGTTAAACAGAGGATAACCTTCAAATATTCACCCATGTGTACGAAATTCTCAACAATCAAGCTCCTTCATATCTGGTTGACCTATTACATTCACATCACTCAAATATTCCTGATGCTTACAGACACCGACTCCGCTCATCATCTGATCAGACCCGGCTTTCTGTCCCTAGAAGTAGGAAGAAGGCCGGAGATAGCTCTTTCGTTGTGGCTGCCCCTCGCATGTGGAATGCCAGCTTCCTTCCTGTCTGAGAGAGGCGGTCTCGCTGCCTGTATTCAAACATCTCCTGAACACATTCTTGTTCCAAGTCCAATCGTAATCGTATTCGTATTGGGTCTGTTATTTTTTGTTGTGGATGCGTGTTTAGCGCTTTGTTCTTTGTAAAGCGCTATATAAATACTTTGTATTATTATTTGTATTATTATACTTAGGAAATCTACCTTTTCTTTCTTTGATCTCGGCTCCCATTCCAATTCTAGGAACACTCCATTGAGTACACAATTACGACATAATAGTTCAACACAATAAACTGTAAAGTTTATTGGTTTTCAGTATCATGAATAAAAACAAACAGTTTAAAGGGAATGTACAACATTTGCTTTTGCTGCAATTTTCAGAAATAAATGGATTTGGAGGATTTGTATGTTATCGCAAATATTGTTAAAAATGACTTGTTTCACGTTTTGGGCTTGTAGGTGTTGGAAAAACTAAGAAAACCAATCTTGTTCTTGTAGTCTGGTTCCCCGACCCCACTTAAGATGAAACGGAGCAATTTATAGACTTTTGGGAATTGTAAGGTCAGAGAATCAGTCTAGCAGGCTTGTACCCTTTCACATTTTTCTTGAGAATTATAGCGCACCAGGAGCCACGATTTTACAGGATGCTTTAGACTGTCATTCCCTAACAATCCAGTAAGGTATTTCATGATAATTTGATCATTTTGTTTTGCGATGTTTGCAAATGTTGTATCTTCCCTTTAAAGATAAAAGCCTATGTATATATGCTTGTAAATACATAAACTGAAATTTAAAAAAAAACGAAAAAATGGAATGGAGATGAGGAGGAACAGAAGTAGTAGCGGGAGCAGGCGTCTGGTGGTCACTGGTCTTGAATCTCTTGGCCCAGACTTCTTTTTGGACACAGCTTTGACCTTTTTGGCCGCCCTGTCTTCTGCCCTTGTGATCTTCTTGTTGTTACCAAGCGGTTAACATGAAAGAAATAAGGATAACAGCAATGCAGAATGAGAAGACCCAAAAGCAATATGTCAGATATATATACAAATTTGTTTACACAAAAATATTCAAAATCTAAATTGTGTCTACGCCAAATGTGAATGACAATTTTTTCTATCAACTAAACGACAGTCAAATGTGGCAGATGGATCAACAATATTTGATGTCGAGAACCTAGTTCAATCCAGGACAAGATGGCGGAATGGATGAGACTGAATATGGTTCAACACGCAGCCTTCCACGACCTGTGCCACCACGACTCCCAGCACTCCACACGAAGTGTGATCAGGATGCAGAACAAAATGTCGCAAGCAAAACTACGCTACGAAGTCGCTGAATTTAGGTGTGCTCCAGACAAAGTTCAGAGCTGATACTGTCTAAAAGCTGGCACGGACGGTACAGGAAAACTATCTAGCGTGGCCCACGCCCAATGTTTCGTAAGATGGCTCCAAAAACAGATATGCAAAACAATATAAAACTTCGGCCACGAAAAGCTATGAAAGAGGGTTTCGCATTCGCAAAGCCGACTGCTCAACATGTGCGAATAATTGTGCATATCGCTGCATGAAATTTGCATGATACGTTATCGCTAGAGGGCGCACTATTACAAGGATCAAGTTTTGTTCACAGGAATATTTACAAAGTGTACAACAGCTGAGCTACAGACATGGGTATTTGAAGAAGGTGGTAAGAGATTCGCCAAAATAAACCAGGTGGATTAAGAACGAAAAGCAAGCTTGTCAAGGGACCGGTTGACCGTATTATAAATCGGTCGACTGGTCACATTGCCATCATCGGACTCGTTGGCCAACTCGTTATTCTCGTGTTCCTCGACTGTTGCCCAACCAGAGGGGCTGGTATCGGCTACTCGGAATAGCTTAATGCTCGAGCACTTCAGTGTTCATGTATTTGCGATCAGCTTCAACGACGTGATCCAAAACGGACTGACTTATTACTGTCGTTTATTGCCTTCCCTTGTCCAGGTTAATTTGGTGCCAGTGGCTAATTATTTATGCTTCCCATCAAAATTAGCAGAAGCTTCAGCTGGGAACTTAACTTGATTAGATGACCCTGACAGAAATTTCCCATGGGAAAATTTCCCATGGGACCCCATGGGATTTACATGGTGAATTAGCCAATAGCATGGGATTTTTCCAATGGGAGTTTTCCTATGCTTGGGCTTTTCCTCATGAATTTTTTTTTCCATGGCAAATTTCATGTAGGTTTTTCCCATAATGGTTTCCTATCATTTCTCAAAAGATTCCAAATTGCTCCATGGTATTTTTTTTCATAACAACTTTCTTAATACATTTTGACCCCATGCGATTTGCACTGTTCACCAAATGGGATATAGGCCTATAGGCCTAAGGCACATCACGGAACTCCGATGGGGGTTGAAGAAATTATTGATAACCTCCATGACCGTATGGGAAACATTTTTTAATTTGCAGGGTTCGAAATAAGCAGAAGCCACTATATAGCCAAATGCGAGTCAAAACAGCGATAGGCTAGTCAAACTATTACTTAAGTATATAGCCTGGCTGGCGAGTCAAACAGTGGGCTACGGCAAAGATGAACGGTCAGGAAGAAATAAATCTTTCAGTTCAGGAGGCAAACCTGTATCAATATATGAATAATTTTATCAACAGTTAAATTATTTTATTAGATCTGTTTATTAAAAACAGTGACAAAATTGTCTAAGAATAAGGGAGAAATCAGTTGGAAATGGATAAAAACGAATTTTACTTACGACTTATTTTCGTACAAAGGTCTCCTTAATTGTTTGATCACGTCTGTTTTCACATCCGGCGTACTTGCGTGAAAACGAAAACGATAACGACACGAATATTTACCTACTTACGTCTATTGATTCTCGATTTATTCAGGCCCATTTGGATCACGTTTTAATACAGTTCTTATCAAAGGTAATTTTATACTTCAATTTGTTAAAAAAAAATTATCCGCCACAAAATTATTTCATTAATTGTATAATATCCTTGAACGAGTGATCGAGTTCTACTAGTCCACCGGAAGTTCTTGGAAGTGAGAGGTCAATTTTTGACACGATGTTTCTCTTTCACGTCATGCGATTTTTCAGTTTCCAAAAACTTCCGAGGATGCTTTTCTTTAAAAAAAAATCAACTTTACACGTTAATTTCCTTTTCGAGGGGCCCTGAAGCGCGCCACCAGGGGTACACTTGCAGGCTCTATACACGTTTTACATGACTTTGTATGCATATTGCTGTTTATGAGACTCTATAAAAGAACAAAACGTGCGGGCTAGTGAAAATGCCCGCGGGCTATAGTAAAGAGTCTGTTTTAGTAGCCCGGCTGGCTACTGAACAAAAAGTTAAGGTTGAACCCTGTGTAAAGGCGAATAAGTAATTAAATTTAACAAAGGTTTGCCTATAACCTGGGAGCTAAGTGGGCCCATTATGGCTCCCATGGCATATGCATGTTTTCCAGTTTAACACACACCGGGGTCACCGTGCTGTCTTTTAAATCTCCCATGAGTGTGGGTGCATGGTATCACCCATCATGGGGGTGATATATGGTATCACCCATCATGTGGGTGATATTATGGTATCACCCACATTATGGTGTTCCCATGGCGCCCAAAATCATCATGGTGTACCCATGGATCTATAAAATCCCCATGATTATCGTATGTTGTCAAGTAAATCCCCATGCATGGTGTTCGTAAATTCCCCAAGGTGTTCCTATGATGTCCATGAAATCCCCATGGTGTTCCCATGATGTCCATAAAATCCCCACATTCACATGGTGTCCATAAAATCCTCATGGTGTTCCCATGGAGCTAATAAAATCCCCATTGTGTCCATACAATCTCCATGGTGTTCCCATGGGTTTCCCATGATGAGCATAGGATCTTCCATGGTGATTATTTTAACTTTCATGGTGTTCTTGATGACCTCATGGGTTTCCCCATGGGATGCCCATAGGACATTTATGCAAGGGTGAGAATTGAGTTGGTGTTGATGACATGTTTCAGGTGTAGAAAATGGCAACAGCATGTCACCGACACCGCGAACTGACACCCAGTTGCGCGTGAGTATGAGTGCGCGGCACACACGCGTATTATACAGAACCGGGTTATTTTCGTTTTTCACGCACTGACACCCTGTACAGTGGGAGTGCGGCACTTACAGCGCGCACTCCGTACATATTCATTTTCTCGAACTGACACTGATCTTAACTTCACATGTTAAAACGGTATTTAATTATATTTGTGTGGAAAGATTAAATTCATGTGAATTCAAAGTATGGTGGCCCTGAAGGGACATCACTCATCGCCATTTCTGCGCAGATTTCTGCAATGTCGCACATTTATCGCACATTTTCTGCGCAGATTTCTGCGATATAGCACATTTTATCGCGGATATCTGCGCAGATTCCTGAGATTTCGCACATTTTATCACAGAAATCAGTCTACGCAGATTTCTGCGATGTTGCACATTTTATCGCAGAAACTACGCACTATTATGTCGCACATTTTATCACACATTTTCTGCGCAAATTTTGTAGCATTGTTTGGCTATACACTGCTATTTATATATATTTATCTGGCATCTCGCATCTCGCATTTTGTTTAGCTGACCTGACCTTTTTTTTTTAACACACTAACAATTTTCTAAGCTTATTTTCGTGCATTTTCCAGGTACAGCTCGCTCAGGAGAAAAGAAGATCGCACACGATTTGCTGAAGCACTGAAACAATTCAAAGGAAGTCTTCTGTTTCTGCCGGCTTTTGCTTTCAAGTGGAGGTACCAGATGCTCATCCAAGCTGCGAGTGTTGCGAAGAAATCAGTAGGTCTGCAACCGATCTTTGGGCATCCTGACCACTACACGTCGGTGGCAAATCTTTGGCAGAAAACAATAAATGGAACAAGATGGACGACAACAGGTAGTGAAGTGCTTTTGCTATCTTTAAACCAAGTGCCAGGATTTTCCTGAATTGTGTCCAACTTGTCTACAACTATTACTTCGACAGAACAACGAAAGAACTACACCAAACAGAATAGTCTCTTTTACTGCTTCTGGTCTATTCACAAAACAAATTACAATTATTTACAACTTCTTAACTACCGGTATTGTCTTTCCTTCTCAATTATATCCAAATTACACATTATTATTTTCTTATCTTATGTTCTTTACTTGTAAAACAAATTACGTTAAACTTAGAGAGTCACAGTCCAATTAAAACAAGGTATTGACTGTAAGGATATCCTGATGTAAGTAGCAATTCGGAACGTCTGATGCCGGTTGATCCTTGGATACACCGCCACCTGTGTTGGGTGTCCTACAGCCGAATCAGATCTCTAACGCCTTGACTGATCTACATCTTCATCTCGGCGCTGCTTCCTCAACAGGCAACCATCTATTTACAAAATATTCAAAGTTTGTCTCACAATAAACATCTTATATTGATATCAGTGTGGTATCTACAAATTCAGTAACACTGGTAATCTCCTTAAATGAACATGATTCACACTATACTGATATTTCCTTGCCATAAATGTACCAGTTATCTGAACACTGTTTTCTTCAAATTCGAAAACGTAATACTTCAGTATGTACATCAAATATTATAGTCCATAATTCCAATATTTTCAAACATCAATCCAATCTTCAATTATCAATCAATTTAAGACAATCAAAGTAATCTTAAGCAAAAGTTCTTAATGCCAATTATCCTTCAAATTAAACTTAAGGCAAAAATGCACTTTATTCTCAAGCTGATATGTTACAATATACAAGAGAAATCTTTAAATTGCTTCATAAAGAAACTTACGGTTGTGTGGTGTCTCAAAATCCTGGATTTTTCCTTGGTGTGTATTCTGAGCACAATATTGCTCACTGGGGCCTTGTAGACAGTGGCGTAGCCACCGGGGGGCGTGGGGGGCGACCGCCCCCCAATGAAACCTTGTCGCCCCCCCCCCCAGTCGCCCGCCCCCCCCCCCCCCCCACTGAGATTTTGAGTTTCTACAAAACTTATCATTGATCTAAATCTAAATAGTCGCGAATGATCCACATGATGACCACTGAGAAACGACCCTTCGACCGGCGACCGCGGACCAGTAAGCTGACAACCGGCGTGACATAGCGCATAATGATAATCTAAAATTCGTATTAACACCCACTGCACTGCTCGCTCACACCACGGAACACGTATTATAGACAGGTGGTCCGTGGGTCACACAGTTTCAGTCAGCGATATCACGCGAATCGGCCACGCACAAACTTTTTCCTCCATTCATATAAGCTAAATAATAATAATAGACCAATTAAAATTCCTTGAAATCAGTGGCGTAGCCACGGGGGGCGTCAGCCCCCCCCCCCATGAAACCTTGCCCCCCCCCCCGTCGGCCCCCCCCCCTCCCCACTGAGATTTTGAGTTTCTAAAAAAAATTATCATTGATCTACATGACGCCATGGGCGTCAATCCTGGGGGGGGCAGGGGGACTGGTCCCCCCCCCCCCCCCCCCACTTTTTGAAGGGTGGGGAACACAATATCAAATGTCCCCCCCCCCCAGATTTTTGAACTCGTGTCTCATTTACAGGGCCCTATTATGTACTACAATGTATCTTTTGCTTAGAAAATATTGGTTAAAGTGGTCAGAAATTGCCTCAGATAGCACCACAGAGCATTTAGAATCCAAAATTTTTCGGGGCCCTTAAGCGAACCCCGAACCCCACGCCTATAGCTCAGAATTCTGGTAGCTTATTCAATGACTCCAACCTCGAAAACAATGTTCAAAAAAATTTCTTATGCCTTTAGCTGAGAAAACCTCGAAAATTATTTTTTAATTGTTATCTTTTGTGCTAAGATAATTATTGGTTAAAGTGGTAAGAAATTGCCTCAGATCACACCACAGAGCATCGAGAATCCAATTTTTTCGGGGCCCTTAAGCGGGCCCCGAACCCCACGCCTATAGCTCATAATACCGATAGCTGATTCAATGACTCCAACCTCGAAAACGATGTTCAAATAATTATCTTTTGCTAAGAAAATATTAGTTAAAGCATGGAGGAAAGTGGTAAGTTAGAAATTGCTTCAGATCACACTACAGAACATCTAGAATCCAATTTTTTTCGGGGCCCTTATGCGGGCCCCGAACCCCCACGCCGTGCTTCGCGTTTCGCGCTCGCATCAGTTCTGATCAAGGTGTGTCCCCCCCCCCACTTTTGAGAAGTGATTGACGCGCCCCCCCCCCCCCCCCCCCCATGAAATGTTCTGCAAATGATGTAATGTACCTTTCAGTCTCACAGAATTTCGGGAGGCGCAGCGCGCGACGGGGGCACGTCAAGCATCGGGTGACACGGGTTCTCTGAGAGACGTTCTCAAAGAAGATACGCTTGCCTCTCACTTCCAGCCGACATCTCCCTTGGACAAAAATTAATAATAAAACCTCAGTCATCTATTAAAAAAAATCCTGGATCCGCCACCAAATAAGAAACGAAGATTAGACTATTTTCAGATTATACCATTTTTTTTTATTTACATGTGCTTGAGGCCTTCACGTACTCTCATCAATATTGGACTTCTGTGAGCAAATAGACGTCTACGGTTTCTGGCCCTTTCCAACGACACTGGATGGCCGTGCTGTGTCCTATCACTACCACAATGATATCAACGGCACCACATCACACAGTTTTGGCAAGGAGTTCAGAGGTTTAGTGTATTTACACGAGCAGGGAATCATCAAGTTGCACATTGGTTCGTGTTAATGATAGTACGAGGGTGCTTCGTGTGGATGCTCTCTCTGTATAGAGGACTGACTGCAGAGAAATATGTTTAGTATCCTCATAAAACAAGGTTCTCGTCACACTCAATTTTAAAATGAAATTCTCTGACTTCGTTTACTACTTTTCAGGACAAAACCGTTTGACCAATTCCTAAGCTGTTTTGTCATAGCTTATTTACACGCTTCCTGATCATCTCACTGAAAACAAAGGCCTACACAGTGTGCATAACCAACAACAAAGTTGCCTCCACCTCTGGCATTGAGTCATTCGATCGATCTTCCCTCTTTTTTTCATGTTAAATTTACATATCACCAAACACTTACAAGGCCTCCTGTCACTGTCTTCCCAGCTCTGAATACCACTTCGACTATAGAAACTGCACAATTAACTAAATGCAACTACAACTAAGAAAGCCAAATAGCAAAGTATTATGATACATAATTATATCATACTTATATTGTAACATATAGGTTTTGGTGCTATAGTCTTTGTGATGTTTGACTATACTCTATATGTTAGGATAGGGTAGCTGTGGCTAGAGCAGGATGAACAATGACTACGAAGACTATACAAAGACACACTGGTAATGCCTATGAGTTCAGCTATATGGAAAACTGGTTTATTTTCAAGAACTCAATATTCTACCGGTATTGTGTATGTACAGAACTATAACCTCAGACCATACGGCTGAATCAGCTTATGGGTATGGCTGGGTACCAGAATACAGAAGTTGGAGACAGAAGACAGAGGTTCTGAAGAGTTGACTGAAGTGGAAAAACGTGGACCTTTTATACGATTTCTGAGGGGCAACTTTGAGTAAAAATAGGAGATGATGTCATATAAGGAAAACATAACTTATATGACATCATTTCTGAGTAAAGGTAAACTGACCATAGACTGACGTAATGGTCAGTCTGGGGGAGTACCCTTATGAGGTCATTTTCCCCTGTACAAGGGTTAAATCACAGTCTTGGTATGCTGTGGGTGTATTGCTTGGAAAAGAGTGACGTGAAGACCTTGGGGTGTAATGTGGAACACCTGTTGTGAGAGTGGCAGTATGTGTGCTCAGGGACAGTCTAAATTTCGGTCTTACAATATCATAAGGGTAAATTTTATTACATCATTATTTTGATTATTGATTTATGTGCTGAGTCATCAACTATACGTTTTACATTAACATAAACTGTATAGTGACATTATTTAGTGCCACGAATATCAGAATCCAATTGGCCAGCACTGTAAGTGGGCGTGTCTTAAGTCATCTACTGAGCGACAATCAGAATGCATGCATTCTGATTGGTCAATGCATCCTCTGTAGTGTGGGTATAATGATGTGCATTATTGTGGTATAGGGATCATGTTGGCCTAGAAAATGCAGAACGAGTGAGAATAAACTCCACTTCTTCGCTTCGTCTTCTGGAGGTGGGACCAAAGAAGTCAAACCGATCTCTTGTGTCTGCTTTAATGTCTTATTGTTGCAGATTAGAAGTGTCTAGTCTCCACCTAAAGCCACCCTAATCCACCGGTCATCCACCCAAATCCACCGGGCAGGTGCTTTAACTTCATCGTTTTTATAACTTTTTTTGCGTTATCCCTGATTTTTCCACTCCATGGAGGACTCTCTATGTTTAATTTTTAATTTAAAGTTCAAAATAATTTTGTTTCATGTTAAATCTTAGTTAATCTGTATCATTATTATGTGGAAATTGCGAATAAATCAAATCAAATCAAATCAAAATGCATCGTGAACTGGCCAGACAGGCAGGGAACTTATTTGGCGACGCACGTTACGAAGAACGGGTAAACATGAAGATCAGTAGAAGAAGAAAAAAAGCATTTCAGAATGGACTATACTTTTTTGTCCAGCAGCGTAGCCAGGGTTCTCATCCTAGGGGGGAGAGTGGGGGGGGGGGGGCTGGATGCTACAGTGGGGGGGGGGGGGCAATTTCATCCGTACTGCACACTGAGCGCTGAAAGGTAAAACAGGTGTTTTTTTACACCGGATACCCGGCCTCCGTAAAATCAAAAAGTGGGGGGAGGGCTGGACACCAGATTTCACTGGAGACGCTGTTAAAAACCGTCATCATGGTCAATCTCACACAAAAGGTGATGCTATCCTATCGCCAAAAAAACCCAGAGTTTCCGTAAAAAATTAACAGAAAACGTGCAAAAAAGTCACTTTATGTTAAACACGCTAAGCATGGTATACCTTATATAGGACTGTGATTTTCTCTAGTTGCCAAATATCCACTGCGGCAACTGGGGGGCCACGATTTTTTATGGGGGCAACAGGTCCGCGGACCACACTATTTTACTTGCCTCTACCCCTTCTGGCTTTATAAATGATAATAATTATGGGGTATAGGAGCACCAAGGGGTAGTGGATGTCCGTGCCCCCCGGGTGTCTGCCTGTGTGTCTGTCGGTCGGTCAGTCCGTCCGTCTCCCCCCCCCCCCCCCTTCTTTCATTTCCCCCTTTTTATTGAGAGGGAAGGGAAGGTATTTAAAGAACAATGTTTTTAGCAGTCCACTTCCAAACCTACAGGATTTCCAGGCTTGCAGTTGGCACGAGGTGGACAACGAGATGGATCAACCTGCAATGGCGAGATTGTGAAAGGACAGGTGGATAGATGGACAGGTGGACATGTATAAGGTGTTTATCCTGAATGGTTAAGATGATCAATATTGACAGTAATTGTGTTGTGTTCATTGTTCATAGTTAAATGTCCCTTTGAACCTATTATGTGTAGATGTGCTCTTAATGTTTTACCCCAAACTCAAACTGTCACATGTCCCAAGTAGGTTTTTACATACCATCTTTAAAACAATGAAACTTTGTTTAATCATGTGCACGCACTGTACGTTTAATGTTCTTTCTTCTACAATCATGTCTGTATGTTTTGAAACATTTAACAATTGTTGACTGGTGTGATGTGGCATAATTATATGACGTTTTGAACACCCTCGGGGCGCATAGCACCCGAGGCGAATCCCTTCGCCGCTCGTGCTAGTCTTTTTACGTGCCAGCATCCGGGGTGCGTCACGTGTCCAGGTAAGCGCGTGGTACTTGACTAAAGGCTAATACGACTGAGGACTTGGGACAATGGGATGTGTGCATTGATCTCCATATATGGAGATCAATGGGTGTGTGCGATAACAATTATCGAGGACCTGAGCTGAGTCCTCGGTAAACTTGGCCCAAGTCTGGGTTGCGAACTTTTGCACCACATGTATGCACCACATGTATGCACATGCTCTGTACATGCACATGTAGGCCTACTTATAATACGCCGCGTGTTGTACAATGTACATACAGTGTGCGCGCATAGCCAAAAACAGAGTCAGTTGCCGTGTCACGCGTAGCTGCTCTATTTTCTCGTCCACACAACTGATAGCAACGCGAGGCCAGCGAAAGATGGCCGTAATAAGGACTTCAGAAAATTCGCAATTTCCATGGCAAACCACAACCGATCCAAACAAAGAAAGTTGTTTAGGTAGTTAAAGACCTACTTCATACATCCATCATTTTTTTCTCTCTCAAAAAAGGATTTTGATGCATTTTGACGATATTATTTCACGGACAAATCGACTAAAAATAAGGTTATGAAATTTCCGGGGTTTTTTTCGACGACGACGAAAGTCTCCCTAAAATAGGTAATCAAAGGAAAGAATGAACCTTCATCTACAAAAAAAATCTCGTGAACGTGATGTCGTTAATATTTTAAGAATTCGATGTACACCTAATGTTTCCGACAACTTCCATTTTTCACAACGCGAAAAGATCGTCGACATTGTAAAGCATAGAGCGAGGAACCCAAACACGATGTGACCTTTTGACCCCATACGCCCACTGATTGGTCGAGCTCGAGTATGGCCTGCTTAATATTCATAAGTCATTCATTGCACGTTCCCACGTGTGCTATTCACAATTCAGGCCAACGTACGTCGGCGTACTTACGTTCGTTTACACGCGTACATGTGATTGCAAATCATGAAATCTCGCAAAAGTCTTCATTTTTCAACCGGCGATTTGGACCAAACATTAGAAGTCTCCTGCACGTGTTTCAAATGAAAATGAAGCGTATACTTTTCTCTATCTAATGAATCTTTCGTGTCTTTCGGTCTTTTTTAATAATCGAATGTACACCTAAAAACTATCGGCCCTCGCTTTTGTTGATAAAACATATGATTTTGTTTGACAGGCCGTAACAACACTTTATATTTTTCAAAAGCAGTTATTTTTGGTATCAAAATAAAGCACACGATTTCAACTTTTCACATATTTAGCCATCTTGGCGCCCATCGCGCCATCGCGCCCACCACTACCTGCTCTCTCACCCTGGTACTGGATTATTTGCATGTGCAACATTTTTGAACACGTATGCAAATGAGGAATAGTCTGGTGCCTGCCTGTGCGTTACAGTAGCGTTTGTTTTTGTATGCGGTGTCTGGTGTAAAAAAAAAAACATCAATTCGTCGCGCCGTACAACAAGATTGTTTATACCTTGCCAAAAAAAACACTATGAACATTGCTCTTTTTGATAATTTGATACCGGTGGCCCAATTTTTGGACAGGAGCTAATAGCCTATCAGTGTCGAGTAAAGATCCTAAATATTTGCATTTCTTCCAACAGGTGCCTTCCTCTCCACAGCTGCTATCGGGTGGATATTGTTACTTGCCCAAGTGATGTCATCTGCATACTATAATCCCATCTCAAAGTATACTGGCGGGCAAATGGCGTACCTGTGGTTCTCAAGTTCCACAGGAAGGGATCGGGACTGTGTTTGTGTGTAGTAACTAGGATCCTGGAGAGTGAATGGGGTTTTGGGTGTTTCCGGGTCAAGTTGTCTCAGTGCTTTTGCAAGGTGTAGAGTCAAGAGAATGGGATTGAAGCAATCTCCTTGAGGCACGCCGAAGTTGGTTTTGCAGTTCCCACTCGGACTTGTAATCGAACGTCTCTACATGTATATAAGCAAGATTGCCAGTAAGTGGAGTTCGTCTTGCTCTAGTATCTCTTTGAGATCCTCAAAGTGAACTACTCTCCTCACCGAATCAAAAGCCTT